CGCAGAAATCCGCAGATTTTTGGCCCACCATATCTATTTACTTATGTGTAAATGTGTGTAAATTTCTATTTGTTCAATTATTCTGTTTATTAAAATTAATTTCATTAATATTGTTATGATATAATAATAGTAATGTTAAAATGTTCATATGAGCTATTGACAATATAGTTTGTAAAGGCATGTTTTCTGTCTTTTACTGAATATATTATATGAGAGACTTGCTTTGTTTAACCAATAAGTGGATTTAATTGGATTTGCATTGTAAACATTAAATAAAAGTTAAAAAATGTTTTATTTTTTATTTAATTTATTACGTTTTTATTTATGATGCTCCTAAAATCATTCCGCATAAATCCGCAAAATTTTCAGCAGTAATAGCAAAAAATGTTAGGGTTCTCAGATTCTGTCTGGCCCTACTAAAAACATATTCCTTACATAAATGAACCCATATCAGCTATTTCAGCATATCATCTATAACCAGTGCCTCAACTGACCAAAACCATTTTTGGGGAAATTTTACAGCAAGTGTAATTAAGTTATTTTTTTTAACAGTTAAAATACATGTAGCAGATGTAGCGACCTACATCTTTTAAAATGTGTGTCAGAACATAAAATGCAGGATATACAGATTAGAAATGTATTCAGCGCAACTCCAAAGAAAAAAATAAGGTATGTTTAATAGTAACATTTGTTAGTTTGACATGCATATTGTAAAATTTGCAGCTTATGTTTGTAATGAGGCAAGAAACACATGTAGACTGCTGAGTATAAGTGTTTAATGTACGTTTATGCATTATGACATATCACTCAGCTTTTACTGTGATTTCCTCAGTTTATAATACTTGACTTTGGGCTACTTCAATAGTCAATGTTTTAATAGTCCTGCAGCTCATAAAATAAATGTTTCTCTGTTCTGTTTTTTTTTTCACATTCTTGACTTTGTTTTTATATTGTCTGCACATCATTTTGATTTTGATTTCACCATAAAAAATAAAAGCTTACTTTAATGCCCTCCCTGTTTACCTCTAGTAGGCTGTGCTTGTTCTTTTGTGCATACAGGCCATTATAGGACCGTGATCAATGACCAGAACCTATTATTGCCCACATTTAAAACAACACAACTACACAACTACAGAGATTTCTGGAGCTTAACAGTGTTCATTAGGTTTTCCAATCAGGTTTTAAGGCAGGACCGGAGTGGGACTCCTTTTCAGCCCTGGAGTTTCAAGCCTCAGACCGGCCCACCCCAGTTCACGACTGAATATATTAAAATAAGGTCATTTCCAATTTAGTTTCTAATTACACTATCATGTCTTTTTTTGAGAAAACAGCTGCTTTAGAACTTCAAATGTTCAACAACCCTAACAGTATTATATGTCTTAACAATAAATATGAAAAAATAAGTTACTTAAACGAGGATCAAACCCGGGTCGGTGGCGTTGTAACCTACCGTGCTAACCACTAGACTACCATTAAGCTCATCTGAGTTATATCATCATTAACCTGCAGGTTGCATCTTGCTCACGAGGCTGCGAGAAAATAGATCAAAAGAGCAGAGCTGCGGTAAAATAATGAATAAGAAGACTGTGGTCAAGTAAATAAATTAATTAATTTAAAAAGTGTGACTGCTGAGACCAACAGATTCTGGAGCTAGGGACACCGGCCCTCGCGGCCAAAAAACGGACCGGCCCACCGGGAATTCTCCCAGTCCTCCCGATTAGCCCTTCCGGGCCTGTTTTACGGCATATCATAGCACTGAGTTTGCACTTCTACGCGTGATGAATGACATTTTGTTTTAGGGACTCGGGGCACTCTGGGATTCTTATGCTTCTTGACCTTATTTCAGCTTTTGACGCTAGACCATGAGATCTTTATTTCCCGTCTTAAGAAATTGGTGGGCATTCAGAGCTGTGCTCTTAAATGTTTTAGATCTTATTTGTCAAACAGAAGCTTTTGTGTTAATGTTGGTCAGACCTTTTCATCCTCCAGACCCCTGACATGTGGAATTCCGCAAGGGTCTAATCTTGGAGCTATTTTCTTTTCTTAATATATTTTACCTATAGGATCTTTTTTTTTTTTGTAAATATAAGGTGGCTTATTATTTTTAAGCAGATGACACTCAGATTTATGTCCCTCATAAAAATAATGATAAAAATGGGCTTGACCCCCTTATGAGATGTCCAATCGAGGTTAATTAGATGTCTAGCCAGGGTTACTTGGTTGTCGTCAATTCTCTTTAATTTCGATGAGGAGAAAATTGAGCTGTTCTGGTTTGGTGATCCTGCGCCTCCGGAATTTGATAAGTTTGAGCTATCAACTTATCAAAAACCGGTTGTTAGAAACCTAGGGTTTCAGTTCGATAGTGATCTGAAAATTAACAAACAAGTAAATTCAGTTGTTAAATCAATTTTTCTTCCATTTATGACTTATGGCAAAAGTGAAGTAATTTCTTTTAAAAACCTTGAGAAGGTGATCTATGCTTTTATTCAGGGAAAAGACTTGACTATTGCAACTCTTTGTATGTGGGTATTAGTCAAAATTCCCTGAATAGAATGCGATTAGTCCAGCTGCGAGACTTCTGACATGGACTTTCAGAGCAAGTATGAGCACATATCCCCAGTTCTTTCCTCTTTGGGCTGGCTGCCTGTTAGTTCACAGATTGATATTTAATTGTTATTTTTTTGGTGGTTTTTAAATCCTTAAATGATCTTGCACCACCTTATTTATCAGATCCCCTACATGTATACAATCCTGGTAGGTCACTAAGGTCTTCTGATCAGTTTATTCTTTCTGTAACAAGGTCCCTGTATAAGTGAAGTGTGGATCAGGCTTTGCTGTTATCGACCCAAAACTCTAGAACAAGGTTCCACCCCATATTAGACACACTCCAACATTATCTGTTTTTAAAAACAGAGTATGTACAGGAATCAGAGAGTGAAAGTCAATACCTTTATGGAGCTTTTTTAAGACTCTTTCCACACATTTTAAAACCTTATAACCAGTTTAAGTTTCAACTGTAAACATTGGCGAGATTTTAACATACAGTAAATTTACTAAATATTAATGTAAGAAGCTAATCCAAAACTAAAACATCATTCATATACTGAATAAAAATGTATTGAATCCAGCAAATTCAGCAGGTTGGTGCCTATAGAACTGTAGAAACAATGGTGATGCATTGATTACTGCAGTAAACAAAGCAGCAGGATGTCAAATCTAGCAGGATTTCATTGATTCATAAACTATACAGCATCCTGAAATTCGCAGATTTAATTCAGATAAACTTTAGCATATTAACATTCATAGCATAAACAAAAATAATAATGCATACAATACCTTGCAAAATAGCATTTAAGACTATTTGATACTTTTTAAGGGCCTTAAATTTATCTTAATACTTTTTTAGATCCTGCAGAAATTAAAGCATTTCAAACTGCATCTTTGTTCTTTAGCATTTGAGCCTTTTTAATGTTGAGGGCTTTTATGAATGTAATGTAAGACTTTTTTTAATTATTGTTTACTGTGTTCAGCACTTTGGGCAATGTTGTGTTAAGAAAATTGTGCTATATACATAAACTAACAAAATAACTAACTAACTAACTAAATAAAACAACTTAAACAGTTGATAACAAAATCAGATCTAAGTAATAAATTAGAATTGCACTCTTTAAACATAGCCCAATTTAATTCATTACTCCTTCCATATCTACTAGTAGACTACTTTACATTGCAAGCTCTTCTTTGAAGACCATGCTACATGTAAAATCCCTGAGCTTCAAATTTCAACATTACGCCCTATTCACACGGGGCTTCAGCGTCAACGCTTGACAGAGGGCGTGTCTGAAGTTGGAGCTGAAACGATCGTCATAGAAGCGTCAGCCAATGAAATTCAGTCAGCAATAGGCCACTGTCTGAGCTGGTGTATTTGCATACAGCGATCTGATTGGCTGACGCTTCCGTCGGCGCTTGAAAAGTTGAGCTGGTCCCAACTTCTGCAGCGAGGAACGCTTCTGAAGCGGCGCCGACGGATCCACAATGCAGTTCGGCAACGCCTGACGTCACCCATTCAAAGTGAATGGGAAGCGTTGACGCTGACGCCCCGTGTGAATAGGGCGTTAGAGTTGTTTGTTGTCAGGTTTCCCTACAATTTAAGATGAGGCTCTTACACAACTTTCCTCAATGCACAGTATGATTCACACCCATATCACAAATAGTAACAGTATGGATTACAAAGCAAAGTAGGGGTCGTTCAAATGTAAGTCTTTATAACAAAGCACTTTTTTATACTTTCTGCTCCAAATACATTTCAAACCAGCCTTAAATGACATCATAAATGGAAGTGTGCGTTTTAAATCCCTCATCCGTGAAGATCAAACAGAATCGGAGAATGGCATAATGTCAAGAAAGTTCTCGCAGAAGTTCTCTGCACTTCAATATTGACTTTGCAAAAGCCAGAAGCTTGATTTCATCTCTTGGAGTGAGACGGCGTAAGCCTCGCGCACCTGATACAAACACTCCACTGTTTGAAGGTAAGGCACATCTGAGGAATCCACAACAAGGGAGTGCGAGAGTTTGAAGAAAACCTGCAGGTCACGCAACTCCAAATCTCCTGTTTGTTCTGCACGAGCAAACACTTTAAAAAAGCGCTAGTCTTCTAACAAGCAAACAGGGTGACGTGCCTTTCAAGCAGGCAAATAAGCGAGAGGTTTGATTTCCTTGAAACGGCAGCAAGTGCCTTTAGATGTGCTTATAGCGCTCTGCATTATGTGCATCACAATCCCAATGCTAATCACGAAACGTGCCGCAAGGCTCTCGAGAAAAACAACAAACAAAGAAGTGCGTGTTCAACCTTGAGGAACCACACTCAGAGGAGTAGCTTTCCAGAATAGATATTATGCTGAATCACCTTTTACCATTACAAATGAAACCATCAGCTACACATGGAGCAGTTTGTATTCTGTTGTTGTGTTGTTCTCTTGGGGAAACAGGTCATAGCTTACCGTAGTCGGTGACCGATTTTGGAGCCCTCATCTCTGTGTCTGTATTTCGCTTCTTGTTCTTTGATTTCCAGGCATGGTAGACCTTCAGACGACGGTGAAATTCTTCTCGGCAAGCTGCCAACAATTCTATATCTATAAGAGTGAGAGTTCACATAGTCAGTACAGCATTGTCAAACACAATGAGCCCAGTTTCATATTACGATTCATTTTATGTGCTCAGCTTCATGCTGAACATGAACAAGGTAAAACTCTTTCAAAGTTTATCTACTTTCTTTTTGTCTTTTTTTATAGGTTTTTATCTTTTGTCTATCGTTTTCTTCTAATTGTTTGTTTACAGTGAATCATTCATTTATTCATTAACCTTCATCTTAGTCTCTGTTTCAGAGGTCGCCACAGCGAAATGAACTGCCAACTATTCCAGCATATGTTTTATGCAACGAATACCCTCCCAGTCGCAACCCAGTACTGGGAAACGCCCATACACACTCATTCACACACACATACCAATACACTATGGCCAATTTAGTTTATCAATTCACCTATAGCGCATATTTTTGGACTGTGGAGGAAACTGGAACACCTGGAAGAAACCCAGGCAAACAAAAACATGCAAACTACACACAGAAATGCCAACTGGTCCAGCCGAGACTCGAACCAGAGACCTTCTTGCTGTGAGGCGACAGTGCAAACCACTAAGCCATCATGTCACTGTTCACAATGACTCTTTTTCAACCTATTCAATGCACTTGTTCATTCTGAGGTTGTATTTACAGTACTTTATCATTGCTTTGGTTTTTAGGTCATGTAACTTGCGGTTTTATTAAACAGGAACTAATTTTCTACACAAAATGAGACATTCATTCATTGATTTATTCTTTCTGAGTCAGTAAGTTATCATGTATTGTAAATTGTAACATCCAGTCTGCTTTGTGGATAACTTAAATGTAAAGCCTTCACTTCAAATGGCTTAATTCACTGGTACTTTGAGTAAATCAAACTGAAACAAAATATTGCAAAGTAAACTTCAAATTGCTTCAAATTAAGTAAAACAAATATCAATGATGTATCAATAATGTTTAAAGGTCCTGTGAAGTGCTTTAAAATGTGCATTTTTATTTGATGTTTAATGCAATCCCAAATGAAACATGAAGAGAGGATGGGACAAAGTATAGAAAAAATATTAATCTTTCAATTCAGTTTATCTTTCTTTCCAGCTTTTACAAAGTAGATTGTGTCAAAGCAGCTTAACATAGAAGTTCTAGAAGATTGAAACTGTGTCAAACCAGTTTTTAGTGTTTAATTTTAGTTTAAAAGAGTTCAAAATTGAAGTTTTAAAGAGTTGTGGTTTAATTGTCACTGCTGAAAGTCCAAACGCTGAAGCGCAAATTGATCTATGCGCAGCTCTACAAGTTCCAAACCAAGCAAGCCAGTGTTGAAAGTGGTGAGGAACAAACTTCACCAATTGAAGAAAGTAACCATAAAAATAGGGGTGTATTTACACCAGGCTATTCGAATCGATTTAGTTGGCCCAGTTGGAAGAGGTGTGCCAAAGCGCAGTTCGGTTGGGCTTTGGAGTGGTACACTTGTACCAGAAAGTTTCCCAGAACTGAAGACACGTCATCACTTTTAAGGGACTTGTTTCACATAGATTTATTAATCATTCATTCTTTTCAATGAAAGTAAACTGATATAGTTTATTAAAGAAACCTCTCGCTAGCTTGCTAATGTGTAATGATAATTTATGAGTGTCAAAAGTTGTGGATCTGTTCGGCAAAATATTGTCACTGCATCCAAAACGACAAAAAATAATACAAAATGAGATAATTAAAGCAATGTCCACTGTGCTGAGCGACAGCGCTTCTTGTCTGGTAACCTGAACCGTTGCATCATCAATTCATTTGTAAGTTGCTTTGGAAAAAAAGCGTCAGCTAAATGACTAAATGTAAATGTAAATCAACGACGTAAGTGTGCTCCAGCTTGAAAGGACAAATATAGTGTGAGTGCAGGCCATAGGGGGAGAGGGGAGGGGGACAATCGTGCTTCAGCATGGTTTATGGCAACTGTACCTAGTGTGAGTACACCCTTAAGCTAATAGCATTTTGCTTTTTTTAATCACAGCTCTGCCGTTGAGAGTAGTTGAGCTCAACTGCATCAAATGTGAAGCAACTTCACATTTGATGCAGTGAAGGGCAGGGCAGATACTAGACAGCATTTGATTGGTCAAGATTTGATGAGAAACTGAAATATGAGGGGAAATGAATAAAACCGTTGATCCATTTAGAAGTGACAAACTACAAGCTTTACTTGTTAATTTTAGTTTTATATCTTTCAAAGACAAATTTTGTCACTGTTTAGGTTAACATTACTGATACTAACATCTACAAATCTTTTTTTTTTAACTTCATGGGACTTTTAAAGTGAACAATGAATTGAATGTGAACTTTCATATACTTCACAAAAAACAGCCTGAGCATCAGATTTTGTATACTTCAGAAGGAAAACCACATTTGAAACAACACAAAAGCAACTAAATTATGACTTAATTTAGCATGAACTATTCCTTTGAGTCTAAACACCTAAAAATGAAACCAACATGACAGCCCAGAAAGTCGGCGAAGCAAAAAAAAGTGAGTGAAGTCTCAATTAGCAGAAAATAAGACAAATAAACAAAGAGACTTGCAAATAAAAAGGAAGAATACATCATTAATTCACTTTTAAAATAATAATGGACTGAGAGTAGGCTTTAAAACCAGTCCCTCTAAAAAAAAAACTGTATTTCCCCCATCTTCCACATAACGCATGTTAGCCCCCCATCTCCAAAATGACATGCTTTTTTTTTTTTTTTTTTGCCAAGAGCGGCTTGAGGTCAGCAGGAAGTTCTGGGATCAGATTGAGAAGACTGATTGCTCTTACCACAGGAGGTGTTGATGGCGTCTCGCAGCTCAGCGTACTTCCACTTGCTCAGGTCGTACTTCTTCACCCCAGCTGCCACCTTGTTGGCCTGCACCTGCGCACCCCTGAGATTACAGAGTGGAAGAACAATTTGGACTTTTTCTTAGCTTCATATTTCTCCACAGGCAAAGGCCCTGATGCATCTATTAAGCTCCCGTTACCAGCTGCTAAACGTTCCCTAGGCCACAGCACAATCAGACAATTAATTGGCCTTCTGCTTACGTAGAGATACATTCTCTCTGAAACTTGTAATGACATGGAAATAGCACGGATCATGCCAAATTAACACCTCACTGAGCAAATTAGATGCAGCCTTGGCAACACTGAGGTTGCAGCGCTGAGGGTGGTTAATGGCGGTTAACGATGGTTAATGCTAAGCGATAGGGAGGCACACATGTGAGCTCTGTAAGGGTTTCACAGGGATCACATTAAGCCCAGGCTCCCACAGTAAACCAGTCTGAGGAGGGAATGTATTTTTACTGAAGCCTTTGGGGCAATGGGCACAGCATCAGAACCCTGGAGCTCCGATTCTAATCCTGATTGCATTATCCTCATTTGACTGTGCAAAACTTGTTGTGGATGCATGGAAAAGTGTTTTGGGAGGCTGTGTTCTTAGAGGTTTTTATCTATCCTCTTTTCCGTTATCTGTTAAGGGGTAAAGAGAAGTTTGAAATACTTGAGCAGCTTGAGTAGGAAACATCTCAATGCGAGCCCCACTGCTAAAAGTTGCATATTTACATATGTGGCACAGGTTTTCATTTCGATATCAAATTAAAAGTATAATTAAAATGACAGCTGTGAGAAGTCTGCTCCTCAATGAAAATGAGCAGAAGTTTGCTCAGGCTTTGCAATGCGCAACTCTAGGCTTGTGAAATAAACCATGTTTATTTTTAAGATGGCAGTCAGCCGTTGGGCAGCGTCAGGCTGTCGGTGAGCGACTGTCAAGCTACTTTGACATCTCGCTGGGCTCACTTCTTAAGCCTCTTTCACAGTACGAGCAACTTGCAGCTGCAAATCGACAAGCGACCGTACATTTCAACTGAGAGTGAGCAACTTCCGGCAACCACTGTCTACAAAATCAACAGCGACTGTTGGCAACCAGGTGGGAAGGTTAAACAACATGACAAAGTTGAGAATCCTTCAACTTTATGTAAATGACATTACCAAGTTGTGGGTTAAAGCATATTAAAAAAAAAAAAAAAAAAACTGGCTTATTGTATTGTTGAGTTTTACCATGTTTAAATCTATTTAGCTAAAGTCCAGGTCTGGCAAGAGCACTTTTAGCTTAGCTTAGTTGTACTACTATTTCCTTTGCTGCTGTACAATGGCTGCAGCCGGCACAATGATTATAGGGTGCCTGAAAATAGTCCCTATCTATTTAACTAGCGCTGCATATTATCATCGCGCCTGATGATTTATACGTATATATATTATAAGTTAAGGGTGAATGGATTCAAAAATGGTAAAACTCAACTCTTTAACTCTAGGAGACTTAAAAGAAAATGTCTATTTCCAAAAAAAGGTGGAGTGTTAAGTTAAATACTGTATTTAAGAGGTTGCTGGCTTGTTGCTGGGTGGAAGCTCAGGTATTACTAGGTGGTTGTTTAATAAATGTGTTTAATATTCTTTTAGGGTGCTTCACATGGTTATTCACAGTGTTTATTGGGAGCAATGTTTGGTTGTAGCGTTGCAAAGTAAATCTTGGTGTTTTCTGCTGTATTTTTTATCTGCAGCAGGGGCAATGATATTATGCCGTGCCTGAAAATAGTCCCCATATCCCAAAAGTTAGAGCTTTTGAAGGCAATAAAATGTTGTGGATTAAAGCATGTTAAAATATATATATATATATATATATCATTTTTTATTCATTCAGCTGACCTCTAGGTCTGCATCTAATTAGCTTAGCAGACCATTGCTGCTGTACCATGGCTGCAGCAGGCACAATGATATTTAGCAATGCCTGAAAATATCATTGCAGCCGATGATTTATGCTAATCTAGAGCTAAAAGTGCCACTAGAGCTAAAAGAGATTAGCTGAATTGATTAAAAATTGGTAAAACTCAACTATTTAACTCTAGCGGACTTGAAAAAATGAGTATATTTTTCAAAAACGGTCGAGTGTTAAGTATTACTAGGTGGTTGTTGTATGCTTAATACTCTTTTAGGGTGCTTCACAGCATTTATTGGGAGCAATGTTTCATTGTAGTGTTGCGAAGTAAATGTTGGGATTTTCTGCTGTACCATAACTGCAGCAGGCGAAATTCAGGTAGTACCTGAAAATAGTCCCCAAATCCCAAAAGCTAGTACTTTTGATGACATTAACATATTGTGGGTTAAAGCATGTTTAAAAAAAATAAATTGGGCTAATTTTACTGTTGTGTTTTATCATTTTAAAATCCCTTTAGCTGACCTCTAGGTCTGGAGAGAGCACATTAGCACATTAGCTCCAGGTCTGGCAAAAGCACTTTTAGCTTAGCTTAACAGACCATTGCTGCTGTACCATGGCTGCAGTAGGCGCAATGATATTATGCAGTGCCTGAAAATAATCCCCATCTAGGTAACTAGCAATGCGAAGTATTATTTCGCCTGATGATTTATGCTAAGCTAAGCTACGAATGCTTCCTAAGTACTGTATTTAAAAGGTGGCTGGCTTGTTGCTGGGTGGAAGCTCAGGCATTTCTAGGTGGTCGTTGTACGCTTAATACTCTTTTACGGTGCTTTATATGATCATTCACAGTGTTTATTGGGGGCAATGTTTTAGTTGTAGCATTGCAAAGTACATGTTGGGATTTACTGTGATTAAGGTCAATCGATTATTGTGAACCTATAGTATAGTTTGCTTTTTCACAATCTGAACAGAATTTCTCCTTACCCTCAATATTGTTGTGAGGAATAATAATGACGCTATAATAAGCAGCACTTTTATAACCTTAGGAGAGACTTTTGTTTGATTAGGTGACTTCAGTAAGCTTCCCATTCCCAACCTACTTGAGAAAGATGTGCAATCTCACGAGCCAAAGCATTTCGACAGAAGACAATTATTCCAGTACCCGAGGCCAAGAATTAAAGTCATGAAATGATGATGTCACTCTACAGCCTTAAAGCCAGCATCCTCATATTAAAGCAGTGACAGGAGTCCCAGAAGAGACGGAGGGCTGTCAGCGCGAGTGGTGAGTGTGTCTGGGAGGAGCTCTTGCATGGCTGAACATGGTGACGCTGGATGTAGGGACACTCTGTCGACGCTGACAGCTGTGAAGAGCAAAGCTGCTTAACGGAGACCCTGTGAGAGAAGTCACTGAACCAGCAACCCTGCTGATTAACCCACTCATACAGGTGTAAGTGGAGTGCTAGCACAAACACACACAGCAACTGAAGAGAAATGTCAAGTGTGGTGCTGGAGAGGTTACTTATCATTCACGGCAGCTCAACCTCAGCGTTTTAAAAAGTACATTTAAAAAACTAACTACTTTAAAGTTTTCTTTTACACTTTAGTCACACTTATAATGTATCATTATCGAGTTATATTTAACATCAACCCAAGTGGCATTTATTTTAAAGACCACAATTATATTTTCTAAGCTGAATATTAAAAATCCAAGTTTAGATGATTAGAAAAGTATATTACTTTATCACTGAAAAGTTTAGAATACACTGACCGGACATGAGGTACATTATGAGGTACACCTTACTAATACTACTGACTTAATCCTTTGTGGCATAGATTTAACAAAGTATGGAAATATTTATCACATGCAAACAAAATATTTATTTTTATACAAGTGAAATGAAGAATCTACACTGTAAACAAAAAATGAACATTCGCTGTTATATTATTTTGCAATTCATGTTTTAATTTTTTCCCTCCATTTATTTATGCTTTTGAATTGCATTATGTGACCTTGATCTTTCTTCCAACAACTTTTAACCTTTTGAAGTTAAAAAAAGTTACTTTTATGAACATTTTTAATCATTTAGAAACAAATATGCTCAAACTAGGGCCAGCAGACCAAAGTTGGCCCATGATAGCCTCCAATTTGGCCCACCATCCAGTCTGAGAGGAGAGGAAGAATGATGGAAAAGGTTGGAGCGAATGCCTTTAACAGAGATCGTAATTTCTAATTTAACATAACCTTTTTGGTTTGATTTATTGCTACGCTACCAAAAAGTACACTAAAATTAAAATGTTCCAATTAAATGTTTCTAAATAAATTAGATTTTTTTAAATACAAAAATGTATGTAAAGAGGACAAGGCAGAAGACATTGGTGCGCAAATCAAGCCAAACACAGGAGCAGCTTGACTACTGTAACTCTATTCTATTGTTTTTAACTGCAATAAGTGCATTATGAAATAAAAAGATTTAAACTGCATTAGGTTATACAGTATAAAGCAATGTTTTCTATTTATTTTGAAATATTAAATAAATCAGTAAATTATTCATGGCAAATTAATAAATGGCTTTGGTATATTTACCCACCACACTCGATCAAGTTTGGTCTTTGGCCCTTCACTAGAAAAAGTTTGGGCACCACTGGTTTAAAGTGATATTGTCTGGGTTGGTGATGTAAATTACAGAAGAAAAACCTTGAAATAAACCGCCAGTACATTTTCTGTTAGATTGCAGATTCATTTCTCTATATATTATTTCTTATATTATTTTAAACAACTGAAATGTCAATAAAAGTAATTTTGTTAAACTGTACAGTTGAATGTTTAACATCAAAAGTTGAGGTCCCAAAGCAAAGATCAAGGTCCCATAATGCAACTCACAACTGTAAATTAATGGAAAACAAAAAAAAAGGAAACCGTTTATTAACAGATATTTTTACAGTGAAGAATGAGCACACGGAACTGCTATTTTGATGAAAAATTCAACATATACTTTAGTACATGTCCTCCATCATTGCTTTTAACCAAAAAAGCATGAATTCATGTGTCAGTTTGCAATTATCAATATTGGTCATACTGTTGAGAAAGTGCTCAAGACCATTTAGTAAATTTAAGGGTACTATTGCTGTAAATATTGTTCACTTTCTTGTATCATTTTGTTTTGGTGGATCTCTACTGTGATGATTTTGGTCAGTAAAAATCTGTCAGTAGATTTTTACTTGCATTATATAAATAAGACATTGAATCTAAAAATCTTCTACTTTGAAAAAAAAAGCCACCAACATCCTGAACATCCTAAAGGTGAGTAAATTTAACAGCACTTCTTCAGTTTTGAGTGCACTCTCCCTTTAGGCAGCCTTTCAAGTCGTTTCAAACATTGATGAGTAAACAAAAGTAGCTGAGACAATGTAACCATAATTTGTTTCCAATTGCCACTTGGTTTGACATTTTTACAAAGCAACAGCATTCATACATTTTAAGCACCTCCTAAAACATTCATTATAAAATAAAATATGCAAAATTCAGCTAAAAAGCTAAACAAATCAAGTCTCAAGAGTAAATACTTTAGTAATTTAGTTGGATATGTACTACTACTTTTGGATAATTACTCCACAGCACTGCTAAACTGCCATATGGGAAACTTCCTAAGTGATGTGCGGAGAAGACCAAACAGACTGATGGTTATTTTATTGTGACAGATTTCTTTCTGCTATGATCTAATTGAAACTGATGACTCCATTTGACAGCACTAGAAGAATCATAAACACTGCAACAAAACTCTATTTCCCCCTTTTAAAGCAACATTTATCAGTCAACACTAAAAAGTCGAGATTTCCTGTTTGAGCACCATCATCCAGAGCTCAAAATGTTCATGCTGAGAGCTAGCAAATAATACTCACAAGCAGGTGAAGACTGCAGTGTTGGTTAGTAAAAAATAAATATATACACACTGCCTGTCCAAAAAAACGATAAAGTCACACTCTAACATTTTGTTGGACCTCCTTTGGCTTTGATTTTGAATTACTTATTATGATTTTGAGTATTTGCCATTGCATCGCTTCACTATTTTTCTGCAACGTCAACAACATTTATTCTCATCCAGAGTTGGATTATTTTTTCACCAATAGCTGATAGTCTTCTCCAGCACATCCCAAAGATTCTCGTTAGGGTTAAGTCTTATGAATTCAGGCATTTTCTTCTTTAACTATATGTCTGTGTCATCCGGGGGAAAAAAATCCATTGATGGAACAACCTGGTCTTCAGCATATTCAGGTAGTCATCTGACTTCATTCTTTGGGCACTTATCATTGCTGAATGTTGACCTGATCAACTGCTGGATCTCCAGACCACAGAACTGCACCCAGAGGCTTTTATGGTAGCCACTAAACATGATGGGTGCATCACTTCATCTGCCTCCCTTCTTACCCTGAAGCAACCGTCACTCTGGAACAGGGTAAATCTAGACTCATCTGACCGCTAGACCCATTTCCATGTCCCTTAAAGTCCAATCTTAAAGTTTTCTACTAAATTGAAGTCTTTTTTTCCAATTAGCCTCACTGGAAAGTGGTTTCCTTAAGGCTACACAGCTGTTTTGTCTCAATCTTTTGAGTTCCCTTCACTTTGTGTTTGGGGAAATGCTCATAATTTCATAATTAAACATAGCCTACTGAGTTCTACTGTTATTTTTTATGATTTTATTTTACTATAAGTTTGAATCTTTCTAAATCATAATCCTTTTTTTTTTTTTTTACTTCAGCAATCTCCTGTGAAGTTGTCTTTGCTTGACGCATGCCAATAATTCGCCCCTACTAAAACAGATTAACATCTTCTCCACAATCCAGGATGATCATGACTGTTTAAGAAATGACAAGCTGCTCTCTGCATCAATTAGGGTTAAATAACTTGTTAGCAGCTAAAGCACAATTATCCATGTAGGGCTGGGCTAATAAACGGTATTGTATTGAATCGTGATAAAAATGTATGTCAATAACAATGATACAATTTGTTTTTACTTTATATTTATCAAACAGCTAACCACACTGCATAAAAGAGCAACAATGGCAATGTAAAAGTCTGTTGATATTAGAGTGTGTTGGTATATGAAAATATGTTATGCCATTTAATAATTTTCTAATATTCTAATCTAATTTTTGTGGCTTTAGTCATTGTTGGGGTAGTCTTTTAAATCTGGAAGCATAAACAATGTACAGTGCATCCAGGAAGTATTCATAGTGCTTCACTTTTTCCACTTTTTTATGGTACAGCTTTATTCAAAAATGAATTTAAAAATTATTTTATTTCCTCAAATTCTACACACAATACCCCATAATGACAATGTGAAAAAATTTATTAAAATTAAAAACCTGAAAAATCACATGTACATAAGTGTTCACGGCCTTTGCTCAATACTTTGTTGATGAACCTTTGGCAGCAATTACAGCCTCAAGTCTTTTTGAATATGATGCCGCAAGCTTTGCACACCTGTCTTTGGAAATTTTTGTCTATTCCGCTTTGCAATACCACTCAAGCTCTATCAGGTTGGATGGGAAGCGACAATGTACAGCCATTTTCAGATCTCTCTAGAGATGTTAAATAGGATTTAGGTCTGGGTCCGGGCTGGGCCACTCAAGGACATTTACTGAGTTGTTGTGAAGCCAATCCATTGATATTTTGGCGGTGTGCTTTGGGTCATTGTCCAGCTGGAAGATAAACCGTCACCCCACTCTAAGGTCAAGAGCACTCTGAAGCAGGTTTTCATTCAGGATGTCTCTGCACATTGCTGCATTCATCTTTCCCTCTATCCTGACTAGTCTTCCAGTTTCTGCTGCTGAAAAACATCCCTACACCATGATGATGGTATTAGTCTGGTGATAAACGGTGCCTGGTTTTCTCCAAACGTAACGCCTGGCATTCACTCCAAAGAGTTCATTTTTAGTCTCATCAGACCAGAGAATTTAGTTTCTAATGGTCTGAGAGTCCTTCAGATGCCTTTTGGCAAATTCCAGGCGGAGAGTGGCTTCCGTCTGGCCACTCTACCATACTGGCCTGATTGGTGGATTGCTGCACAGATGGTTGTCCTTCTGTAAGGTTCTCCTCTCTCCACAGAAGAACACTGGAGCTCAGAAGAGTGACTGGAGTGACCATCAGGTTATTGATCACCTCCCTGACTAAGGCTCTTCTCCCCGATCACTCAGCTTAGATGGCCTGAAGAAGAGTCCTGGTGGTTCCAAACCACTTCCACTTACGGATGATAGAGGTCTTTCCCTAGGCCTGTCCTCGAGACAATCCTGTCTCGGAGGTCTACAGACAATTCCTTTGTCTTCATGCCTGGTTTGTGCTTTGATATGCACTGTCAACCCTGGGACCTTATATAGACAGGTGTATACCTTTTCAAATCATGTTCAATCAACTGAATTTACCACATATGAACTCCAATTAAGCTGCTGAAACATCAAGAATGATCAGTGAAAACAGAATGTACCCTAGCTCAATTTAAATCTTCAAGGCAAAGGCTGTCAATACTTATGTACATGTGATTTTTTCAGTTTTTTTGTTTTTTATATATATTTTATATATATATACTTTGTTCACATTGTCATCATGGGGTATTGTGTGTAGAATTTTAAGGAAATAAATTAAGTTAATCTATTTTGGAATAAAGCTGTAACGTAAAATATGTGGAAAAATTGAAGCACTAAAAATACTATTTGGATGCACTGTTCGATGCCAACAGTCAGTTAGCGAGTAAACAAATGAATAAAAATACATAGGCATGTGCGTATAGACATATAATGTAATGCTGTACAGTAGCGTTTCATTTGTTTGTTTTGGTTGTCTTCATTTTAATCGTTTTGTGATGTTTGTGATGATTCGATGGTGTGGTTTATCTGCCTGCCTGATTCCCACTGAACTGGGCAGGTTGTGTGACATTTGATTCGGGGGAAGTTCTGGGGGCGGGGTTTGTGTGATGCGCTGCAAGCTTCTAGCCCGACAGAGGAAGCGTGACATGGTTTCGGCTTTACTGCTCATGCTCCCGGGCTAATGGCATGGACCGGCCCGATAAAAACCCTGGCTCGGCAGTAGAAACGCAGCTAATGGGAATCTAAAAGTGTGCTGATATTAGAGCTGTACGTATTTTTCGCCAACTGAAAATGCATCTGCCCAAAATATGTTAAGCCCTTTAATAATTTTCAAATTTTTGTGTCTGCAGTCATTGTTGCAGTACTCTTTTAAATCTAGAAGCATTAACAATATATTGAAAATAATTTAAAGATTGTATTTGTCGCCATATCGCCCTTCCCTACATCCATGTAGTAATTATCCAAAAGGAGGCCTATTTGCTTATAGGTAAATTCAGGTGATGATTTAGTTTTTTTTTTTTTTTTGGACGGGCAGTGTATGTGGTATGTGGTGTATATATATATATATATATATATATATATATATACTTCAATATATTGTATATTTTGCAGCAAATGGAAATTTGGTTTCTATTTTATCTGTTATAGCACAAACAGACATAGGATATAAGGTTGAGATAGAAAAACTCTGTTAACAGACTCTATGTTCTTGTTTTCAAGGATGTTTTCTCAATAATGAGTTTGATGATTCTTTGATGGTTTGGAGATAAAATAGATCATTCTCAGACCACTAGATATGACATTGATCCTTTTTTGAATGTGCATTTATGGTGAAGTTTGTGCTCACCATTCAAGCTAAATAAACGAATAAATAATAGATCTGTTAGAAAGTAAGTTTATCCACAAATGTTATTCAAAAGCCTCACAGTTTATCATTTATGTAGAACAAAAAAGCTATGCCAATTTTTAATATTTACATATTTATCCATTTGTTTAAAGTCTGATCAACAAACACCCACAAGAACCCTACACACCCTCCCCCTCCCAAAAACCTCTAAATCTACAAACATAACCACATGCTAGGTCTCTATTTAATCCAAGAGTTAATTCATGTATGAAGTATTTAGGTTAATATGAACACTAAGAATTAGCCCATTGTTTACTGTGACTTTCTAAGGGTAATCTGCTATATCTAGGTTGTGGTGAGATTAGGGGAACAGGACGTGACTGTGGGTGAGTGTGGTTAGATTGAATGAAGTGGAAAACTGGATAAAAAAAGGTCTCTTAATAGGTCTTACATCTCTGTGAAGAACCAAACACCTGTGGTAGCATCTCTAAAATGGAGATGAAGCACAAACAAGAGGTTTTGGATGACAACACGCTCCTCTTAGCACCTTGTTAGCATGTGTAATAAACAGTAGAACAACCTTTTATTTTATTATACACAAAGTAGGAACAGGTGACAATTCTTTGTCCACTTTCATTAACTAAATGAAATATGACTCCCGAGTGCTGCACCGCAGGCGACTCGTGTTTCTGTTTACCTGCTTTTGTAGGCGCACCAGTTGGCCACAGTAAAAATGATTCATGGCATTTATGTAACGCTGTCTGGCAGTACCTTGTTCTTTGTTTGTTGTTCTGTCGCCGCTCGAGACCATACGGGCTCTTTTCAGATGGAAATCTCCATATAAAAATATCTGTGATTTATGTGTGTTTCGTGAATGGTAACCAGGGATGCAACACGGCGTGGAGTCTTTCTTTGTTTGCTTTAACCCGTTGATGCTGTTTGAGATGTGGATTTTATTATTTAAATATAATCTGCATGTGTGTGTGTGTGTGTGTGTACCTGCGCAAGATGGGATCCATCTGGGCTTCATCCTGGATGAGTTCTGCCTCGTTCTGGGCGATCCTCATGGCCAACTCTCTGTCCCTCCTCTCCTGCTCCAGAATGGTCTGTCTCTGAGTCTCTTCCTCCCGGTCCAATGCCAGCTGCATCTCAAGTTCGGCCTGGAATAAGCATACATCGCCACAAATCAATAATACACGCACACACAATTCCTGACACCTTCGGCGGTTTCCACACCTGTGTCTTCATTCAGTTCCAACTGGATGGCACCAAACTGAGACACGGGCGCACAAATGGATGTTGGTGGGGGTGCTGAGAGTAATGACCACAGATTTGAGCTCAGAGCATTGAACTGTGAGAGGCCAAAGAAGAATTTGAATGAGGCTGACACCATCCCTGTTTAAAAAGACTTTCGGATGCTTGTTTGGTGGTGTCTTCAAGCAAAACCTTCTTTGTGGACCACTTTCAAAGAATTTGTCATCGTCACCAGTTTTGCTGGTGAGCAGCCAGCTTGACCAAAATTAAAATGAGGACAAACCAGTCTAACCAAGAATAGAGAAATAATAGGGATGTCCCAATTGGGTTTTTGTGCCTGAGTCATTTGATTTTGAGTATCTACCGATAGTGAAACCCAATCCGATACTTCTATAATACATTTTTAAAAAAGAATAAAGAGTGAAGAAACAGATAAAGGATGTTCCTTATTTTTTATTTAATCCATCCTATTTTAACATTTAAAAACTCTGTTAACAAATAGTATGTCTGTGAAGTTTGAACAATCAACTATTAAGTAACATCAATTCTTCACTTTTGGACTTTAGTGCAACAGTAAATATAAAAAAATCTAATATAAAAACGAATAGCACCCCAACTTAAAATACCCAGCAGGCAATCCCAAGTTTATTTCTCTCACAGTTTGCTAAGGCAATGTTGTCATCATCAACTTTTTAATAGACTGATTTCACCAACCGCCATTTTTAAAAGCGAAATTGAGGCTCTGGTGGGTAGAAACCCGGAGGAATCGTTGAGAGTTACATAGATACGTTGTGCAGCTGGCTGTATATCTTATCAGCGAAAAGAAAGTGACACAAATTTAGAATTTCACTTCCTTTTGAGTGACCCGAAGGTCCATTCTGAATGAATGGTAAAAATAAAACAGACATTAGAGTTCATTTTCAGAGTTAAGGGGAAATGGCATTAGTTAGCTAACGGTTTCTTTCCCAAACAAACAAATAGGCTAATTAATGATAAGCTGCTTTAAAACTTCAAATGTTCAACAACCTTACAGTTTTATATGTCTTAACAATAAAAATGAAAAAAAAAAAAAAAACGTACCTTGGTCAGGATCGAACACAGATCCGACAGCGTCGAAGTGCAACGTGCTGACCACTAGACCACAATGGCACTATTAAACTGAGTGGCCGGAATGATATTTACATGAGAACTACCCTGCAGGCTACATTTTGCTCATAGGCCTGCGAGACAATAAATAAGAAGAGCGGAGCTGCGGCAAAATAATGGATAAAAATAGTGAGGCTATGGTCAAATAAATAAATAAATGAAAAAAAAGTGCGACTGCGACTGCTGCTTTCTCCGTTCACCATGCTGGAGAGGAACAGTCTGGGCAAATGTAACGCAGAGTGATTGTCATCGATTACAGCTCTCATCTGATTGGCTGAAAGGTACGAGTTGCTTGCCCTGCCTCTGGCAGGAGAGTCTCAAAAATACACACACACGTATCCAGGGGGGGGGGTCGTACGTGAAAGAGGATTTGCACATTCTCATTCAGGATGAACTCGCAAGTTTTAAACATTCAAAACTTTTTGTACACTCTCATACATCTGCAAATGGTGTTACGCATTTGTTAAACGTATTTTATGAATATGTATTTTTATTTTGTGCACGTGAAACTTTTTTGTGAATATAAATAAATATTTTACGCACGTGAATTTGATTTTATGCATGTGAATTTGGCTACGCATGTGTACATCGTGTCTTTTGCGTGAATTATTGAGTCTAATCTGTCTCCATAGTTCACAGCTGTTCCAGCATTAGCTCATGACTAATCATCAGACGATTCCTAACTCACTATAAATATTATAGTTTTCTTATCTCAATATCTTGGTCTTGAAGAACTATCTCAATATCGCAATGTCAGATTTTTCCAGTATCGTGAAGCCCTATTACATAGTATCTGCTTTTCCTACTAAGGGGGTCAATGGTTACTGATTTTCAGCTTTTGATGGTTAAAGAATTTCAGCTTTCTTTAAAATATCTTATTTTGTGTTCAACAGAAGAAATTTTAAGAACTTTGCAAATAAATCAATTACTTAATTTTTAGGCAGTGCTCACTTTTTTAAGTCAACTAATCGTTGTAGAAGCACTTAGTTTACTTATATTTTATGTAAAGCCAACCAATCGCATTTTACAGAATAAAAAAAAAGATCTCAGCAAGGCTGGGGGTTGTTTTTCTGTTAAAATATGGACAGGACATACTGAAGGACTGCTTATTTTTTCTAAATTACTTTTAGTGTACATCACTGGCATGAAATACGATGTTCTACATGTTGGAAGTGGAAGAACATTCTCATTCTAAAAAAATATCCCCAAAGAAAGAATATTTTACTGGTTTCCAGAAAGCGAAAGATCATTTTAAAAGCAAACACTTGCTAAAACCCGATTTTGCTGACTTTCAGGAAGGCAGCGAGAAGCTTTTTGGTCATAACATTTCTCAACATGAGAGCATGTTTAAAGCAGGCTACAGAATTCCCTCAATCTCCTCCTGCAGTGGCGTCTGGTACATCTGAGGGAAGAGAGATTAGCAGGGTGGCCCTGCCCCAGACACACCGCAACCCATCTAAAGCACTGCCCACTGAAAGGATATTAAGCCATTACGCTCCTGCTGAGTGCTAAGGTCTGATTAGCTGTATAATCGAGGCTGTACTGCAGCCAGCCGGTCAGGGATTCTACGTCTAGACTGTGTAAAATGAAAAATAAATAAAAAAAACTAATGAAATGGACAGCATGGTTTTAAATGTGTAAGGACAGTCTGGGACATAGTCCAGCCGCATGGTCCAAAAGCACAGGTCACAACAGAGCAAAGGAGCGACTGAAGTGCGAAGCTTTTTCATCAGAAAAAACCTCACAGAAAGAAGAATGAAGCAGGCGCTATTCTGGAAAAAGCCAGACTGAAGTTGAATACCCTTATATACAAAGACATATACAAAGACACAGATATTGAGGGTTATTTCACACACTGGTCATGATAAATCTGTGCTATGAATCAAACTGCTAAAAGCAGGAGAGATGTGGTGGAAAACAGAGTGATGTATTATGGCCGAAAATAACTGTGATAAAGATTTTATAAACAGGGTGACAGCAGTCTCTGAGTGAATAGCAAATGTTTTCTGTTGCAAAAGGTCTTCAATTTATTCAAGGACTTAAAGATAGCTTTGAAGCTAAAAGAAAGATTTGTTGTTTTTAAGCCAAGGTAAAAGAATAAATTTAACTGAGCAAGGCCAAAAAAAGGTCAACGAAATTAACAAGACTGCATCGCAAATTTAAGATAAGGGGCCAAAAAACAGTTCTGCACAATTAAACGAAAACTTTCCAGATCAAAGAATAATGTGAAAAGTAATTACATTTCTGTCCATGTTGCATCAAATTACTTTTCACATTATTTTTTTTCTTGCAGCTTTGAACATTACGACCATACACTGTAAAGAAACAGCATGTTTTCAGAAGAGCTTAGAGGCAGGAAAACATCTTTTAATTTGGCTCTAGTCATTCGATTATATAAAGAGAGAGCAAACCAATGGGCTTCACTTGATTACTTCACTCACGCTTGATTATCACAAAGGTTTCAGAATTTACTGAATAAATTACATAAATGGGCAATCAGAGGTATTAATATTAGTCACATGAGTGTAAAATCACAGTCAAAAAGCAGAAAACTCAAAACACTATCTTTGACAATCCACATCTTTGTAATACGACGTCCCAGGCAGTGTATGATTGGTTACAAACTTTCCTAATGAGATTACAACAATGACATATTTTAAGTTTTAAGTTTGCTGTATTGTATTTAAGTGTGGTTTATTTATAGACTAATTTCGAGAGGATCACATGCTTATCATCAACATGGCTGGCACCTTATTAACTCCGTAATCTGCCCTATTAGATGATTACGAAAGCATTTTAAATAAGCAGAGTTTTTCACTCCAGTTATCTTTTTCTTGAAGCTCCCCCCCTTCCACCCCTACTTCCCACCCTTTTTTTCCGATAGGGCGACACAGTGGTCCAGTGGCTAGCACTGTTGCCTCACAGCAAGAACATCGCTGGTCCAACCTCCTATTGGGTCGGTTGGCGTTTCTGTGCGTAGTTTCCATGTTCTCCCCCTGTTCGCATGGGTTTCCCCCGGGTTCCCCGGTTTCCTCCTACCATCCAAAGACATACACCATAGCCAATCGACTAAACCAAATTATCACCCAAGACAACCTTAGTTTACACTTCTCACACGGCGACAAGCAGGGGAGTTCTCAAGATCTACCTGAGATCGAACTACCCTCTGGGAGGGAGCCCCGGGCTCGAGGATAGTACATGCTCAGGGCTTCCTCCTGGGACAGCATGCCAATTACGCTTTATTTATTATCAGCTAAGTGTGAATTCTTGAAAATGTATTTGACTGAAAATGACACCATCATTATATACTGTAGCTCTCATCTGATTTCAGCACTCCCTGAAGTGGCATAAAGTAATGAAATGACTGTGATTGACCGTGAAGGTCATCAGTTCACTGAACTCACCGCTATTTACTGAGTGTAACCACAGATACTGGGACACTAGAGCGTTTTAAAGCAGCGATTCATCAGCACATCGCTTGTATGTCAGCTTATAGACAAACCAGCTAATCAACATGACTAAAATGCTCCAGTGTCCCAGTATCTGTGGTTAAATAACGCTGAGTTCAGTGAGCTGACAACCTTAACGGCCAATCACAGTCATTTCTGTTGAGTGAATAAAAAGAAGGGTAAATCAGCACTGTTTAAGAACATACACAGAATTTAGCCTATATTTCATTCACAACAAACCTCCAGATCAACCTTTAATTTAATGTCTTTCCTTCTAAAATACTACCCTCTACCCAATTTGTTTGTGACAA